AATATATTATTGATAATTGAGATGAAAGTCATTTATTCATAGAGTACTTAATGTTTATAATTAATTATATATTATTAAATATTTAATAATTTAACTATTATAGGCTTACTACTAATTACAAAATAATACATGGAATGTATATTTACGTCAAATATTTTAAGAAATAAATAACATTTGCCAAATGGTTGTATGAAATAACTGTTTAAAAGTCATGATTAATCAAATCCATTAAAATGGTTATATTTTTATTATTTTATTTTTGAATCTCACAAATGGTTTTATTAACAAATCGATTCTAAAATAAAAGTCAAATAAAATAATATATATAATAAAATATTATATTTACTAATGCTCGTGTACATTGTACAACATACAGTACAAGTATAGTAAATGTAATACATTGTGATTGCATTGGATTTTATTTTATTTTTGCAATAAAATTCATTTCATTAAATGCTTTGTGAAAAGAATATTGTGTAAAGAATTGTGTATTCAGTTTACACACAATATCGCAATCATTAGTCCTATTTATTTTCAGCTGAAAAAAGTTTATCGAAAATTGAGTTCACATATTTCATTAAATGCTTTGTGAAAAGAATATTGTGTAAAGAATTGTGTATTCAGTTTACACACAATATCGCAATCATTAGTCCTATTTATTTTCAGCTGAAAAAAGTTTATCGAAAATTGAGTTCACATGGAGTTAGCAATGATATACCATTTGTATTCATTCATTAATTATTTATTGAAGGCTTATCTTTTTAAAACAGATATTATTTGGAAATTTATAACAAATTCTGTTTTGAAGCAGATTTGAAATTATGAAGTTATACTGCAATTGATTTACAATCGGTTTCCAAATTAATTAATCAAAATATTTCGGAACTGATGACTCAATTGAACATTTATTTCAAAGTTTGTACAAAAAAATCAATAATATTTGACATTCAAATAATCGTCTATATTACTTTGTATTATATGACAAAATCGATTTTAAAATTACTGTGACATGAATTCATACGTGAATTCTTTAATATAAAACAAATGTTTACTTTTATAATGATTTGTAAGTGAATTACACAATGAATTCCTCACAAAAAGATGCCTTCCCTCGCTGTTAGTGAATTGAATCCCAGAATAAAACTGATCCGAATATTTCTACTCATATTATTCTTTCCCATATGTTTTCTAATGCTATTTTGTGTCATATACTCGACATATGTGTCGGTCGAGACCTGGAACTGTCGGCTATTAGATCCAAATCACATCATTAGTAGTCATATAAACCAATCGGACAACAGTCCGACGGATATTAAATGTTACACAATATTGGATTCACTGAACCAACAGCTCTCCAAATATATAACTGAACGAAAACTACTGCTAATTGTGCGGACAATCTCACTATTAAACACTTTAAGCACTTATATCAGCGCATGGATCGCAACCTACAGACTCTCATATTTACCACTGGTTTGGTTGGCAATGGTGTCAATCGCGAGCTTTTTTATTACATTGAATTTCTCGATTCTCTTCGGACCACAGACTGGTATCACATGAACTCGTGTTTCAAATGTATTCACATTTCTTATAAAACCTTTTCTTTACAGGGATTAATAACTTTGAAGTCGTGCCTCTATTTATAGGACTACCACTAAAGCCTTTACTGGTCACGTCTATCGTATTGGCAATCGATCTGTTGATTGCAATTATTGCAATTTCTTTAGTTATCAATAGTTATAAAAAGCGAATCAATCGATAAGCTATGACTAGTTAATGATTTTAAGTGTCTATTGTATTTAAAACAAAAAACTTATTTCATAAATGTATGATAATTTGAACAATAATTTGCAAAAACCTTAGGAAAATCCAGCGATTTTTGATTGAAATTCTAGACAATATTGTGATATGAGTTTTATAATACTTAAACAAAACTCGATTCTTAGTTGCTTATTTAAATATTTTATATTATTTCATATTAATATGAATGAATATTGTTTAAATAAAATACAATTTGATATTTTCTAAGCATTATGTCTATAATTAAATGCAAACGAATGCAACCGAAAGTAACGAAACAACAAAAAGTTTTATCGTTAAAACAAATTATAATTTCGAGAAAACTTTTTCTTATTTCGAAACTTGCGTTAACTGTGAAGCCATTGAAGTGATATAAAAAAGTTTTGAAAGTTGAGTAGAAATAAGGAAATTGGGAATTATATTCATTAATCGCAAGAATTACTCTTTGAATTGAAAAAATAGTTAATCTAATCATGAAAATTAAGTGAATTATTATTACAATTACATGAAATAATATCTTATCGTCTGACAAGTGGTCTAATAATACCTGAAATGGAAATCATTTGTGAGACAAACTCCAAGACATGTTTGACGCGAAAGCCATAGCAATAGCGCCACAAACTCCTCCTTCGTATGGAAATTGTATTTATTTTGTGCTAAACTCACGAAACGTTTGAAAACGAGATTTGAGTCAAACTTTTCATATACTCTAAAAACATTGCATTAATCATAAGAAATGTTTCACTTGATTATCGCACTTTGATTTGAGTTTTAAAATATTAAAATACATACAACTATTTACTATTTATGTTTACTTTACACTTAATGTCATTATAATTGTATTCATATTTTCAGTTCATTTTTCAATTATGTTTTGACTTTTCATTGATATGTTTGTTGTGAACAACAATTTATTTATAAATATTATGACGATTTCAATGGCTTTTTGAAACATTAATATTCATTAAATTGCAATAAATGTAACACTTTTTGACACCAATTCACACCATTTCATAGCATTTCGTAACACTTGAGCCAAAAGTAAGTCTTTATTTGAATTCATTTCATATGTTTTCTCACAATTGGTCTCTTCGTCAGAGCAACACATCTATGGCTGACTCCGAGATAATCATCGATAAGTGGAAGAGAGAGCAGATATTGGGTTCGGGAGGGTTTGGTGTCGTGAGTCTGTGGATCCATTTGGACACCAATGAGAGGATAGCACTGAAACAGTGTCGATGGAGTGATGCCAACGCAGGGATGTCTCAGAAACATAAGTAATGGACATGACATCCACTCTTAGAGTGGATCCACTCTTGTGGTCATTTGACTCAATGATTGCTTGTTGTGGTGATAGAGAGCGGTGGCGCCAAGAGGTGGATATAATGCATCGCCTGGACTGTCCAAATGTGGTCAAAGCCATTGCCATTCCTCCAGCACTCGACTCACCTAAGGCTGAGCTGCCGATCCTTGGGATGGAATTCTGCAGCGGCGGTGACCTCAGACGAGTCCTCAACAAACCGGCCAACAGTTGTGGTCTAACAGAGCTAGAAGTGCGACAAATCCTGCGTCAGGTGTCCACAGCTGTTGAATACGTAAATCAGTTTAATGTCTTGTTTTTGTGGATCCAATGAACTAATTAAATGAATCCATCGATGAATAGCTGCACTCCAAGCGTATTATCCACAGAGACTTAAAGCCCGAGAATGTGGTCCTTCAGCCACGTACTGATGGACCCATTCTTTACAAACTCATTGACTTGGGTTACGCCAAAGAGTTGGATCAGTCGAGTCTCTGCTCGTCATTCGTGGGAACCCTTCAATACTTAGCGCCCGAACTGTTTCTGAGTAAACAGTACTCCTCTGCAGTGGACAACTGGAGTTTCGGTCTCTTAGCGCATGAGATAATGGTCGGCAGAAGACCTTTTCTGCCCAATTATAGTCCCGCCCAATGGATACCCATTGTGTCAAAGAAGTCTTCGTCCGATATCTGCGCGAATGTCGACAAAGACGGAAACGTCACCTTTTCTAAGGAGATATCCGTTTACAACCAAATCTGTTCAACACTTAAATTCAATTTAGAAAACTATCTCCGAGTCAGTCATCCATCCATTCATTTGTCACTTCATTTGATACTAATATGAAATGTACTATATTTCAGATGGTATTGGAATGGGAGCCAAAGAAAAGGGGTGGGAAAGGGGTCTTCCAGATGTTGTCCGACATTCTCAACAAATATATCGTCGAAGTGTTTGTCGTCAATACTCTCGAGTGCTATTCATATGAGATAACAGAAGACACTAAACTCCTTGACCTCCAATTACTTATCGATTCCAACACTTCAATCAATTGCAACAATCAATACCTAATTCTTCCGAAAGGACTCATACCTCAAGAGAATATTGGGAAACAGATTATCGACTACTGGTATAAGAGGGATGACAACCAAAACAAAGACATCCAAACCATTTGCATCTTAATGTTTGATAAGTCCAAAGTGTCTCAATATAACAGTTACTCCGCGTGTGTTATCCCGCAGTCGGTCGAAGAGATTATGTTAAACCCGACGGAAGGTATGGCTTATGAGGAGCAGAAGAACGCTTGGCGTCACGCCGTTTGGGTGGTATGTATGACACCTGTCCTTATTTGATGGTATATTTGAATGAGTTGTTGTCATCGCAGGCATCCCAGGCCATTAAGAAGTACGTCACTCTTCACGAGGGCTTCAAAAAGTAAGTATCAGTAAGAGTAAAGGCCCGGTATTACGGTATTTATAAAATTGATTTTTCATTTCATTTTGTGCAGCATTTTGATGACTTGTTTGAGTTCACAAAACGTTATGCAAAAGTTAAGCCAAAAAGTGAACGTAGAGTTCAGTAAACTCTTCGCAATCACACAGTTCTTCAAGACGTCTATTAAAATAAATCTCGAAAACTGCGAAAAGTGTCCAAACGTTTCGTCGACAGCTCTGTTGCGGTCGTCCAAAGAGTCGTTGATTGAGTTGCGAGAAGTGTACGCGATGTCCGAAACGGTGAATAACTTATTCATAAAATCGCATTCAATAGTGACAAAAGTAATCGACGCCCAAAGGAATCAAGTGTTCAATGCGTTCATTAAATCCAAACCAATCGATGAATCAATTTCGTCGATATATAACGACATTCTGTCGGCTTTTGATCAGTTGAGGAAACGGTCCAAAGAGGAGAGGAGTCGCAAAACGGATAACACAGTTATGGTTAAACTCCTCTGCGATTGCTTCCAATTAGAAGAGAAACTAATGAAAGATATTTACTCTTATATCCGGAAACTCATTGATATATTGCTTCAAATCCAATCGCATGAAAAGGATTTGCAATTGATTTTGAAATCAGTGTCNAAATTGCAAGAAAGCTATGAATGAGATGTTCTTCTAAATGATAATCTATAATACGATAGAAAGACATGAAATGCTATTTGCAGTCAGGATTCCAGTGCTGCGACTCCGTTGCCGTAACATCTATTATACCATTGATTTTATATAACCTCCCAAAGCAGTCATTCCTGTCGTTACATCAGTTTGTTTCACGTTATTTAAAGCACTCTTTATTGGGAATTAAATGTAAATTTTTCCAAATCTTCTCTCTTTTTATGTGTTCTCTGTTTATCTCTTCCTATCTCTCACTCACTCTCTCCTCTCCAACACATCCTTCTTCTCAACATTTATTCAATTATATCATTAAACAGTTGAATGAAATTCTTTTGATCTTAATTTATTAGTATTACCGTATATATAATACCGATTATTAGCTTTTCTAACGAAACTGTTGTTTATTGAATACACAAATCAATTTATCAAATGAAATTAATGTCAAAATTAATTAATATCCAATTATAGTAATGATATCACATTACGATATTAATTTTGATTGTTAAATTTTAATAATTTATTAACTAACTAAAACTTTAATAATATGTTAATACATTTTTACTAATAAATAATCAACTTGCTATGATATATACAGTAATAGAATATTTAAAATTGCATTATATTTTATTAATTTAGTCATCATAATATATATTTTTTATTTAATTACAGTAGAAATTTTAGTTTTAACAAACTTTGTTTTGTTAACATTTATATATCAAATATCTTAGATTTAATTAAGTTAACTCGTAAACTACTGTATGCACTCAATACATAAAAATAGATTCATTCAAAAAAGCCCTCAATTCCTCAAAATAACTTAAATTTTTTCTTTAGAGCACTTCACACAACATTTAATTTATTTTAAATCCTGGTTTAGAGCGAAAAATTTTGTCTCCAAAATAATTTTATCCAAAAATAAATATTTACAAAAATCCTAATACAACCAACAAAATATTTGTACAAACATAAACCGGTCAATATTTATATTTTTAAAAAGTGTAAGCTATATTTTATTTAATGAAATCACAATAATTATTATATTACTCCGAGTGACGGCTTATAATCGATGGCCGCTTCACTTGAAAATTATATTTCATTTCTATCACATGAACACAAATTCTCTTAAGACCACCCAATCTTATAATCAAATTTTAAGTTAAGGTATTCATTAAATTCTTCTTTGCTCTCTCTCTCTCTCTCTCTCTCTCTCTCTCTGCTAATAATTTAATTAAAAAGATTTCTGTAAAAATAATAGATGATAATTGTTTAAATTTAACTAACATGTAAGCTTACAAATAGAAGCATGAGTTAGACTTTTTAATGTAATTTTTAATTTATTTATTTCTTAAAAGAAATTTTGTTTTCCGAGTCGACACGCAGTGAACTCATCATAAAAATTAAAACTATTTATTATTTGAAAAAAATTATGCTAGAGAATTATGAATAAGATTTACATAAATCATAAACAAATAAAAAATTGTTTTATCATAAAATGATTTTTAAAGAAATATTTTAAACCTAAAATTTTTTCTTTCTTACGTTTTTTTGCCTAAAACAAGAAGATTAATGAATGACTTCTACTATGAATTAAATTTATTAATAAAAACCTTTAATACTATATTTGATATACGACTATAAGTGGCAAACAAATAAACTCTTGAATTTACTCATCTCTTTCCTAATAACGACATGTTTTATACGGTATATAACTTCGTGATAAAAACTAATATAAGTTTTATTGTTAAGGGACTTACATTTAATCCAAATGATTAAAACATTATCCAAACACAACTCCCAGATAGCTGTTAATAATGGGCACCATTTTATTAAAAGTAATTTAAGAATATATATTTGATAGCAACAAATTGGAGTGAAATTGATTAAACTTATAAAATGTTAATTAACACGAGATTTCCTCAAAAAAAACATAAATATCTGCTAAAAAACTGACTGAATTAGAGTTTTTTGAGAGATTCGTCAAAAGTGTCCCTGAATTGGGTATAAAAAGCTATTTTCCATTTAATAAAACCACAAATTCTTGTTTGCCATGAATACTAGTTTAGGACTAATAAATGTCTTCACAGATAAGATATGCGAGTTCGTAGATATAATAAATATTTTTTAAATTATCAAAATTATTAGTTTTTGTAGAGAAAAGTTGAAAAACACCTGTAGTTCAGTTCAAATCAACTCGAGTTTTGGCAAAAACTGATACTTTTTGATCACTTCATGAATATAAACGTATGGATTCAAGTGAAACACATTTCATAACATTTAGTTTGAAACACAGTTTTCATGTTTTAACACATTTAGCAATGCATGCGATGATTCAGTAAATTATTATTTAAATGACAAAATGAATGAATTATTAATTATTATTATTATTATAAAAATAACAATAATTATTGTATAAACACTTTTCGTTATAAAGAGCACACATTGAGTGGCACTTCAATTGTGACAAAACTCCACTTTTGTCTATACCTTTAGCTAACATTAACTAAAGTAGACATTAATTTATAGTTTACTTTAAAAAATACATAAATTTTATCGAATAAATGTTTATTTGCTTTTTACTCGATGGCAAACTGTTGGTTAAAACCATTAAAAACATTTTTAGTAATTGATAAAAATGTTAAATGCATTTACTCTGAGCTATAATTGTTTTGTTCAAATATATTGCAATTCAAAACAATTTTCTAATGTGTTTTCGATTAGTTTTATAGGAAATTGTATTATGTAATCCATTCTATATGTAAGCTTAATATTTACAATATGTTTATAAGAATTTTAGATTTATTTAATTTTATACACAGGTGTTAAGTAAATGCGATAATAAATT